GAAGTATGAGTCTAGGAAAATTGGAAGTCATCAAAAATGAAATGACTGAAATGAACTAGTATTGGCCATTTTGAATCAAATAATCAAAATGGTTTACGATGTGAAGAATGGCTAATTCAAGAGGAATGATGTTGCGTTCATCATAAACATTTTATGATCTGATTCGAAGCCCAGGCTGTCTGTGATAGGATAATATCTATACAGCTACAAGGAAATCCAGTTCATACAATTATTCAAAATTACGCACCCTCCACTTAAGGCTAGTGAGTAAGAAATTGATGAATTCTATCAACAGTCTTTAGTCTGAAATTGATCAAATATATAATTAAAAAAAAGATTGATGATTACTAATCTATGAAATGGGAAATTTAAGAAACAGGAAGGAATCGTAGTTGGAAAGTATGGCCTTGGTCATAGAAATGAAACTAGAGGTTGTACAATCGAGTTTTACAAGACCAACCACTTCTATATTTGCAAATAACCTTTTTCAGCAACATCAAGGGTGACTGTCCAAATGGACTCCACCAGACAGACTGCAGAAGAATCAAATTGATGACATCTATGGGAAGGGATGGTGGAGAAGCACAATTTCAGCAGCCAAAATGAGCCCAGGGCCTGACTCTGGAACAGACCATCCATTGTTCATACATAAGTTTCAGGTTGACAGAGCAGCTGCACTTGATCTTGGCCAAAAGGCCGAGGAACGATGATGAAGATCGGATAAGCAGTGGGAGGACATTAAGAACATCAGATATGAAGAAAGCAAAAGGTCGCTAAAAAGATAGGAAAGAAAGACAAGATCAAATCGGAGTCAGAAGAGACTCTGACGCTTGCGCTTGAACATAAAATATCTTTTTAAAAAACGGGGCAAATGATGAAGTTAGAGAGCCAAACAAAAGATTTGAAAGCACAGTTGGAGAAGACAAAGATATATATTATATTGAAATGTGCAAAGACCCGAGTTTGAAAACCAAAAAGGAAAGGAAGCACAGTAGTTAGGTTTTATGCCAAGGGGAGCGGACCAGGATTCTCCTCATGATCTGGCATAGGGTGGTCAACTCCATGATGGGGTCTTCTGAGAAGCAGCCAAGCAGCTGTGGCGAGAACAGGACAGGGAACCACCTCCTTAATCTAGTCAGAGCCTCGATACAATTGAGGGAGGTTTCATTCCGGGTGTGGCCTACTCTTAGATTGTATAGATTGATAGTGTAGATTGACATGAGGTGGTAGCTACCTCACTTTTGCTGGATCTGAATCCTCCACCTGGTTCATCGAAAACTTTCTAAAAATTACTGCCATTAAATCTAGACTGACTCATAGTAACCCTGTAGGACAGGGTAGAACTGCCCCTGTGAGTTTCGGAGATTGTAACTGTTTACAGGTATAGAAAACCCCATCTTTCTCCTACGGAACTGGTTGGTGGTTTTGAACTGGTGAACTTGTGGATTGCTGCCCATGGTGTAAACACTCTGCCACCAGGGCTCCTTCTGGTCTGTCTCTCTCCTGTTATATGCCTGCCCATCCCAGGAGCCATCATCACTGAACGGCGCACCTTGAATTCATTCAGCTCAATCTGTGTATCAGCCTGTGGTCTGTTCATCACTTGCAGCTACTCGTGTCAAGAGAAGCCCTTAACTTAAATGCTGACCCACAGACTTGAACCAGACTGGACTTACCCACTTCTACATCTGTGTGATCCACTTCTTGATATGCACTTCTTTCTGCATAAATAAATATACAAATGGTACTTGTTTTGCTGCTCTAGACAACCCAGGCTAACATACTTTGTATATCTCAAGATGAAAGAAAAACCACAAGCCTCGAGTTGCCACATGGAAAGACGATATGGGCAAAGCATGCTGAGGTCAAATATGCCTCACTCTCCATCCTTCTTTTACCTTATTCTGACATCAACCAGCCCTCTCTCGACACTACTTTTCTGCTGGGTTCAGTAATTCATCGCAACGGCCACACCGAACTCACAGACATTACCCACAATTATGAGGCTTTATTGGGAAGAGTGAACAGGTTACCCCAAGTCAGGATGAGTTAACAGTAAGGATACAGCCATTGATCCACCACGGGCTTCTTCTCAGCCAGCATTCAGGCCTCTCTCTGGTCCTCAGCCTCTCAGTCACACAGTCCTGTGCCTTCTCTGTGGGCCAGTATGTTTGGCTGCTGCTCCACTTCACGGTCTCCTGGTCTCAGGTCTCAGGGACTTGCTCTGTGTTATGGCATGTTCCTTTGTTCTGCCCCATGGTCCTGTGGTCTTGGCATCAGCCATTTTAGTTAGGGATCTCTAACCTACTCGGCCGGGGTCCTTCCTTGATGGTCCCAGTATCCCGTCTGTTGCCAAGATGCATGTTTTATACATTGAGGAATAACTTTGGTGGCAGTATGGGTTTTGTCTTCCAACAGGGGTCCCCAGGACTGGTAAAGACACACCCTCTGGTAAGGTGCATCCCACCTTAAATACTGTCAGAACAGAAAGCTCGCTTCAAAATGGAATTCTGGGCAGAGAGGCTAGAATTTACAATACATCATCAAAGAGATTATGGCTAGAAAGAGGATATTAGTGGACACTGTATCAATGGCACGGCTCCTTGTTCTGTTGTACATAATGTCCCTCCGAGTCAGAATCGATTCAACAGTGCCTCACAACAACAACAAGGCTAAGCTAACATGGGGTTTGTTAATGGAACATGTTGCTTTATTTATCACAAAATACACCACCACTAGAGACAATTTAGAAAAGAGAACCATAGTCCTGCCACATAAATATAATAGCTATTGCTATTGTGTCCACTCTGTTTTAATATTAACATACCTTTCCCACACAGTTCTCATCTGATCACATTCTGTAAATATGTCCTATATAGCACTTAACATCACAGTGCTTGCATTGTCCAGGCTGCTGTGTAGCTATTTAAATAATATTCTGCCAAGCGGTAGACTAATAGCTGAATCCATCTGACTTCCTATAACATTATTTAAATAATATTCCACCAGATGGTACAATAATTTCATGATTCCTCTAATCTTTTACATTGATGTTATTTTTAAAGTTGCTAATATAAGAAAATATTGTACATGCACATAGTTTGGATGAACTCTTTAGGAGAGATTCTCAGAAGTCATAGTAGTAGATGAAAAGATTTGGGGCATGATTTTCACAGCTCTTGTTCTATTGATTAATTTGTATTACCCCCAACACTGGTGATGATGAACCTTTTGATCGCCAAACTTACGCTCTCTTTTCCAAGTCTTTACTTTGCTGAATTGGGGTATCTAGGACCATGAACCTTTTGATCGCCAAACTTACCCTCTCTTTCTCAAGTCTTTACTTTGCTGAATTGCAGCATCTAGGGCCTCATTGATGAGCCTCGGGACACAGTGGTAAAGCCCTCAGCTGCTAATCGAAAGGCCAGCAATTCAAACGTTCCCAGCAGCTCCATGGGGGAAAGACCTGGCAATGTGATTCCCAGGCTGGAAAAACCCACGAGGCAGCCACCTCAGGTCACTTGGAGCCATAAAAGACTCAGTAACAATGGCTTGGATTTGAGCGCAGGTAGTAAACCTCATCCGAACCTGCCCTTGGATTTAATAGGCCAGTTATCTCTAAAGGAGCTACTGGCGATGATGATCCAAGGTCAGCGGGGTCCGGAAACTCAGCCCTGCTGCAGAACTTCAGATACTCAAAATACCGTGCTGTGTGGCCACCGCGTAAGAGCGGCCTGCAAGTGACTGGCCAGCACTGCTTATACCTGCTCGCGGCACCCTTTCACTGATGACATGGGGCAACTGACTGGATCTAAGAAAGCCCTCCTCCCATGGGGCTTGGGGGTGCCTCTGCTTGAGTCTTCTGCTCACCCTGGCTTCGACCCACTGTACAGACCTCTGGAGTTTGGGCCCCACTTCCGAGGTAGTTCCACGGGTAGAGAAGGCGGATAAAGACAGAAGGATGAAAAGGTAGTTGTCAATCTCAAAAGCAAATTTGCTGGCACTACCAGTTACCACTCCTTTTCAAATATTCGGATAAGTGGGGATTCTGGTTTGGTGGTGGTTTTTAAAGACCTTGGAGAGAATGGTG